GCTTAAAAAAACGCAAAATTTTTATGTAGATTGTAAAGTTTGAAGTGCAATTCAGACTTTGCCGATGCATTCATTGTGATTTTGGACACACTTTCCATCAGAAACAACTCTAATTTATGCATTAGCAAAAGTTTACAACAGGCCAATTGATCCATCGATCAGACCATGTTTCTGTCCAATCCATGTATTTAGATGAGTTTCTATGGCTATATATTACATTAAGTCTGCGAAAACAAGTAGAAAAAGTATTCCAAAGTGCATACAATTACTTAAATAAACGAGAAGTTTGCTAATAAAGAAAAGAGACGGTCTGGACCTACTGAAATAATGTAAGAGAAATACAGTTTGAGCTTTCTTCAACTTTCTTCGCAAGTCATTCATTTCCGCTCATATGTTCTGAAGCAAAAAGGAAAAAATTATCAATCATGAAAAATTAATTCACCTCAACCCCATGATCACGAGTATTTATCTGGGTTTGGTATACATGCTGTTAAAATAAAGTCAGTAAGGAGGAATGCGTTTTGAAACGAATGAAATTCAAGAATTAAGATAAAGGGATAAAGTTTTAGACATATAAATTGCCCTATCCCGAGTAGGAATTGGTGCACTCCATTTTTCGCTGCATGAACGATCTCATAGGCAGGTGTTCCACTTTACGAGGTTATCCACTCTCATAGTCCTTATGGAGAATTAGATTGAATCAAGAGTGGACAGAGATCCCAATGCAAGATTCAAGTTAAGAGGGCGGAGCACCATTGAGATCTGCATCCCGTTTCCATAGCGTTTCTAACCTCAAATACATAGACTTAAGTACTTTCAGGAAGATTTTGCACGAGACTAATTTTTTCCATGCTAAGGCTGTTTTAAACATCATTTATGAGTGCTGTTGTAATCAATAAAAATTGAATTGCTTTTACTGATACTGAGCGGCACGATAGCAAGAGTTATAAATCTCACAGGAAGTTGTCCAAAGGTTTCTTCGTCTCAAAAGGGCTAAGTAAAACAAGGCTGCTGTTTGTCACCAACATTATTTAAAGTATACCTAGAGCACATGTTGGAGGAGTGGAAAAGGAAAGTTGCGGGGATGGGCATTCCACTCCTTGATGGGCAGACCATTTATACCCTATGCTTTGCTAAGGACCATATCGTAATGGCTCGAGATGAGAAGGATGTGAATTACATAGAGCGGAAGTTGGTAGAAGAATATAGGGGATGGGGCTTGGATGTTAGTGTGTCCAAAACAGAGAAGCTGGTTGTGGGAGCAGTGCATCAACGGCAAAGCATTGAGCTTGATGATGGACGGAGGATGGGGCTTTTTTCAAGACAACCAAGTTTTTGCTAAAATGACTATTTCCCGCCATTTTTGGCTGCAATTATAAGTGGGCTTCGATGAATTTAAAAAATAAAACCAAATTTGATTTTTCTATTCTCAAATACCCTCAGATACCACGATTTGATGCAAATTCATTGATAAACATCACAAATACTGACTCCTTCACATTCGTTATCTCCGATTCGGAGTTTCAGATAAATACATCAACAAATAGCTAAAATGCCAATTTTCCGCCATTTTTGGCCGCCATCTTGAAATAAAGTAAGCATGTCGACTTGCGGATTGCGCGAAAAAATGGCCTTTTTTAGCCTCCTTCAAACGAGGTTTCACAGGGTAAGGGGGTGTTTCCATCTGAAAAAAAGTTTTAGCCCCCCCCTTCCGAAGGATGCTCCGCAAAATTTTGGATAGGCCAAAAAGTAGTTCTCTTTGACTTAGAAACATTCCCTAAGTTCCTTCTCAATTGCTCCATTAGGGAAAATTTTAGAACGGGGGTACAGATTTTTGGGACACCCTGTATATCGTACCATTTTTGCTATTTATTTCGACGTCGATCCTACATATATATACACGGTTTAAAAATAGATTATATCAAAATTATCAAATAATTACGTTTTTTTTTTATAAGTTCTGATAGTTTCATTTATATATTTCAAAATTTCCAATATATCTTCATTAGTTCCAATACTGCATCACTCATTAGTCGTATTTTGTTTGACGAAACAATTCGGAACACCTCGTAACAACCGTATTTTGTTCAAATGTTTTTTATGTTAAGGGGCGTGGCCTATTTTTTTATTTTGCACAATTTGGCAACGTTTTCGGAACATTGTTTCGAAACTATCGGAACGTCCTCCAAGCTTGTTTCGGCGAGGTTGAAACAGTTGAAACAGGATTTCTAACCTCACTTTTGGCAGCTCCACTCTCATTGGCTGCTAAAAAAAGTGGCGCAAATAACAAAAGTCAGAAAACATGTTTCGTCGAACAAAATATGACTATTTCATAAAGGGATGGCAGTAGGGTCATTCCACGCCTAGGTAGTCCGGAGGGAATTTTTTTCCCCCCCTCCAAATGACCCAACAATATTTATTTTTGGACTCCTTAATACTCCTAGTTTTTGGAAATATATGGGGTTTACATCCGTTTTGTTTTTTTTCTCGCAATTTTCACGTGTTTCGTAACCCCATTGGTTAGCTTCATCCTACTGTGAAAAGAGTGACAGTTTGGTAGCAATATTTTCTGGTGTTCCCGCCAAAACCAAGTTTCAGTTTATGTTTGCAGTTGTCAAGAAACTGATTCAATGTGCTCCTGCAAAGTTTCAATTTTTAAAAGTAATTACTGTGTATTATATGTAACTTTTAAAACTTAGTGTACTGACTGTCACACCCGTTACGCAAAACATGGGTTTTTTAATGTAACTATTTTAATTCATGTTATTTTGAGATGCTAATTTTTTCCGTACGTCTTCAAGTCAAGTTCAGCTTTGGAGTATTTTTTCCAAATTTTTATTTCAACACTTGATAGGCAAAACTGCGTAACGGGTGTGACACGTTACGAGTGTGACCAATGAGAAGAGGCTTCAATTATGCAGATGTTGCCTCACTTCTCACCATTTTTTCTATGGTTATCACAAGAAATACACTCATATGCACAATTAGAGGTATGTATACATCTAATAAGAGAGAGATAGCCAACTTTTTTGCCATATTACAGTATTTAAAGTGAATACACCTATCTCAAAAGGACTTCAAATAGAACTCGTTGAACTCTCTCTGATTGGATTGAAATATTTTCACTTTACTATAGGCCTAGACCTATCGTACCAGGATTTTTTTTTGGTTAATTTGGATCATGCAAGGTCCAGGACTGCGGGGACGAAAGGGGAATCCTGGGCTACCCGAAGAAAAGCCCTGGGACGGTAGGTCTGGGCCACCCTGTAGAAAAATGTAGTTTTGGCATGTTCTACATTAAAATGCGTCAAATTGCTGATTGATTTACTGCTTAGGATTGCCTACAATAAGAGTATGAAAAGAAAAGTAAGTTTTTTAACTTTTCATTTCTCTCAGAAATGATGGACCTCAGAGAGACAATCTGTCACACCCGTTACGCAAACTCTCCCATTTTTCAAGGAAAGAAAAAAAGATAATCGAAAACGGATCATCGGCAGATGAAGCAAAAACCCTTGGCTTCATCATATAATTTAATCAGATTTTTAAATTCATAAAATTCGCTGAGTTTCCACTTTACACTCACTGAGGAAAAACTCACTTCCAAAATCGGTCACGGCCGTTACGCAGCCTTTTAATTTTTTCCTGAGGAATGGAACAAAGTAAAAACAATTTCTGATAAACTAAAATGATCTATAAAAAAAGTTCTTTCTGCTACTGCAGATAATTTTTTAATTAAACCCCAAGAAAGAGTTTAAATTCTTGTTTAAAGTTAAATTGTTGTCACACCCGTTACAATGGAATGACCCAGTAGGGCTTTGAAGGAGAGATGTTGCAAAGGTAGTTGCCCAATAACCTCTGAGAGGATGGGCATATGTGGCATTTGGGTGTCGCAGAACGCCAGAGTGCGTAGTAGGAGCGACTATATATGTATATATATTTACTGTACTGATACTGATAATGACAATCACGTCCTGACTGTCTGAAACAAATTGTAGAAATGTGGGGGTGGGGGATGGTTTGAAAGTTTCGTCGGTTTCTGTCTCCAGCAAGCAACTGTTGCTTTGCCTCATATTGGACGCAGTAAATTTTAAGTTAGGACAGCATGCTGCAGAGAAGGCGACTAGCGTTTTTCATGCAAAACGCATTGTAAAAATTGTATGCATGGGAACAACTTGGATTGCCATGATGGTCAGTTTTTTGCTTCCCTTTTCATTAATCCTTTTGTGGACATTAGTGCATTACCAGGGCAGTCTTCCTCCCTGTGATTCACAACATCTCACCAAAACAGCGACTGGAACTTACGACTAGTGCTGCTCATTGGAACTGCGACTGGATGAAACACTGTGCTGAGGAGGCGGAAAGAACTGTGAAAAAATGGAGGGACAGTCTGGAACCAAATTCCCAGGGAACTTCTTTTTAGGATCGAATGATATAAAAAAAGTCAAATTTAAAGCAAACTTTTATACTCTACCAAATCTTTAGCGCCTAACTTTGAATTTTAACAGTTGAGAACCATTAAGAATATTTAGAGGGAATGTTGTTCTGTAGACTCCTAAGGCTTTACTGATGGGGTAGAGGAAGGAACTTTTGAAACTTTTTGAATTCACAACTTGCCTAGGAATTCGGACGAAATTCTCAACAAAATTTGGATTCTTCACACTAGATTACTTGAAAACATGGACTTCCCAACTCTCTACGTCAATTTAGCGACCTGATATTTTGTAGAGAAGCGCTCTGTTCCCCACGTTCAGGGGATAGTGTTTCGGGCAGAGATGGATCGGTTTTGGACTCTTTGGTTTCGATTCAGGTTAATTTTCTATACTTTCTAATTTGATAGATTTTCAAATTTTGCCAGGAACCTTTACTATTAAAATTTAATTAATAATTAGTACTCATGTTTTCGTAGGATTTTTCAAATGATGGTACTGCCGTTCAGGATCTACAGATTGGAACAAGCGAAATACGAATGGGTAGCTAGTACATGGTAAAACTTCACTGACCTGTACCAATTCATTATTACAACTTAATGGAGGCTCGCTAGGCATGAGCATTTTTAGTTTGGCGGAAATACTTTTTAAGAGACATTCAAGGTGCTGCAAAGCATGATGGGTTGGTGTATGCTCAGGAACGCCACAGTCAGAACTTGGAACAAAATTATCGTAACAACTGAATGTTTTGAATCCTATCCTAAAATCAAAAAAGAAGCAGATGAATTAGTGAAACAGGTTTTACTTCAAATTGGCCAATGGCAGGGGAGACATGAAAAAAGGCTGCAAAGATGAAAAATAAAAAATGGAAGGTTTTTATGAATTGTTTTCAAACTAGCAGTTTTATCAAGAAAACTTCTCATTGGAAAAGTTAATTTGATAAGAGTAAAAGAGCGATTTCCTGTGCAATTATTTGGGAAGACAATTTGAGGAAAATAAGAAGGTATTAACATAAAAGAAGATTACCATTATCCATAAGAAATGACTGCACTGCATTTCTATCCAAAAAATATGCGGTCATAGAGGACCATTAGAAGGGCTTAAAACCGGGGGTTTTTTACTTTTCGCCACTCAAGGAGGAGGAAGGGGTAAACATTCAAACCACTCTTGAGTGCATAAATGACTGTATGAATCAATAAAATAAAGTAACTTGGTCTGGGTCTAACATAGGAGCTCTTTTCAAGGACCTTTATTTGATTTAGGGGAAGACGGGGTAATAAGAGAGACGGTGGGGTAATAAGAGAGTGACACCCTTATTTGAGGAGTTGTAATTGAGTTACAAATTTGAAAAAAAATAGGGCATATGCACCTATCAATAAGTAACACTTCCTCAAAGTTTCAATGTTTTCTTTAGTTAAGTGAAAAAAAAAATGTAAATATTTTCCAATTTGTTTTTCTCTAATTGTACCCCCTGGACTAGTAGTAGAGCAGGTCTATATCTCGTATAAAATTTTAATTGTAAGCAAGGAAAAGTATATAAGATCAAGCATTACATCACCCTTAATAGCCCTGCAAAATTTGAATGAGATCGGACGAATGGTTCTTGAGTTATGAACTTTTGATACTTGAAAATCGGAAAGTTTAAGAAATGAATTCAAAAAGCAATTTTAGAAATTTTATTAAAATTTGATTTATTGGAATTGTATTTTTTTGTTGTATTGTATTGTTGTGTGTTGTTTGTTGTATTGTATTGTTTGTTATTTTTCTGTTTCGAGTCATTTGATGAGGAAAAAAAAAATCACCAACAGTTTTAGTGTTCATTCTACTATTGTACCCCTCCCCGGCAAGACTTCACTCTCTTATTAGCCACAGGGGTCACCGCTCCGGGCCAATAAGAGTAGAACATCATAAATCAGTAAAAAAAAAAAAACTAATCTAAAAAACTGAGTATCAGGAAGAAGCCCCATATCCTGAGCTACAAAATGATAAATAGTTCGATTTTTTATGAAAATGTTTACTTAAGTTTATGTTGATTAAAGCGCCGAGATACACGAACTTCGAAACCCAGTTCAAAAAGAGGGTATGTTTACACGCTGGTCCTGTCCCAGCCACTCCTCCGATTCGGCCTAGAATTAAATACGAAACGCGGCAATGGACCAAGATTCGTTCCCCACGGCGGTAATTCCGTTATCACTCACCAGAGAGCGGCAAAATCCAATCTAGCTTATTGTCCCACTCTCTTGTTACCCTGTCTTCCCCTACTATTTTATCCACTGTTCCTTAATTTTGACGGGGAAAAAAGCATTTTTTTCTTCGACTGAACCCCCCCCCCCCCCAACAAAAAGAAAAAAAGAGGAAGAAATTGGTTTGTAATTTTTGGAGCCCGAAAAATTCATTTTTATGTGAGGTTTTCAAATACTTGAATAACTTTCAATAATGGAAAAAAAGGAGAGGGCCTTACTTCTAAGCGTTAGAACTTACTGCTACGTACCTGGGGAAATGTCTGGTTAAAAAATTATGACTTTTTAAAGTAAGTGTCCCACGACATTTTACAAGCTAAAGAAGTATGTTCCACTGAAGCAACTCTCAAATATATCTGAGCTGTTGCATTTAAATAAATGTGTTAGTGTATTAACTTTCTTGGTACATGATGCTATTCTGAAAGTAGACCGACCAGGTATGTTCTACTGCTTTATTTCTTTGATCTAATTTCTTTTAAATGGTTTAATTGATTCTAAGATGCACTGAAAAAAAAAGCTTCCTAAATTTAAGTAAAAGCGTGTGTTTGGGCAGAGGCCCAAAATAAAATGAGAAAAATAAATGAAGGAAAGAAATGAGCAATTTTGAAAAGTGGACTGTATGTTTTTAATTTATGAAAGGCTACCAGGCCGCGCGAGGCCGGCTACAGAACAAGTCTGGATTCCCTAATTGAGTCTTGACGAGACGATTTGGAATACCAGGCTGCGCGGAGCCGGCTTCAGAGCGAGTCTGGGTTTTGAAAAAAAAAGGAACGCGAGAATTTTGAATCTTAAACGAAAACAAAAAAAGAAACTCATGAAAGGAAGGTTTAAACTAATTTAGATGAACATGGAGAAATTGATACTTACGTTGTTGAAAAGAAAAAAAGACCAAGAGATACAAATTGCCGAGGAAAACGCTGATGAAATAAAGAAAACTAGCTTGAAGAGCTTTACTAGGTTATAATTTACCTTTTAATTACGATAAGCTAGAAGAGCTTTGAAGAAACTTAATACTAGGACGCGTATCTGAATCACTACTGGATTACCAGTAGGGCACACTGCTGGAATGCCAGCAGGAACCTAACTATCGAAATAAAAAAAGATAGAAGGAAGCCAATATGAAACACTACTGGACTCCAGTAGGAAATCTAAAACGTCACTGGATGCCAGTGAGATGGCGAAAGAGATGCGAAGAAAACACGAAACACCACTGGTTTACCAGCGGGATAAGATCGGCAAACGATGGCGAAAATTAGTCGACCACACGGGGGACCCTACTTGGAGCTGTTTCGGCTCGATATTCGCGAGACCAAACAATAAACTAAAACCTGAACTTCTTATCGAAACAAAATGAAAATCTGAGTGAACTAAAGGTAACCGTATGGTATCCTCCTTAGGATACAAAAGTAAAAATATAACTTTCCCGAGCCTTTTCCTGGAAGGGCGGGATCAAAAAAGACGGCATGGCTTACAAGACCCGCGCGCCATCTGGCGGATTGGCGCGGTACTAGCCTTTTGCCGGTCGAGCGCGGAGGGAAGGAGTGCGCTGGCCGACGCGGCGGTCACGGTGGCTGCTCGCACGCGTTGCAATGAAAAAGGATGAAAATAAAAATCAGTCCCTGACTGAACAGCGTGGACTTGGATTTTCTACTAATTCCAAGGTGGGTCCGTTTTGGAAGAAAACACCGGGTTTCTCAATGTAAGCACACAGAATTCTCTTGCAACAAGAAAATTCTATTTTCTTGAATAGAATCAACGGCGTTTTAAAAAAAGTGATCGTGTACTTGAATGAAGAAATCTGTTTCTTGAAATTAGTAAACAGATCAACAAAATCCGAGATGGTGGCCGTGGCCGAAGTGGCGAAGATGATGTCTTCTCATTCTTGTTATTTATAAGGTAAAAAGCTATGAGAGGCGGTTCGCGGAGCGAGTAGCCAGTTCATCGCGAAGCGAGGAACAGGGGGTGGTCCAGGGGCAATCCCTGGCTAGGCTCCCACAGCAAGCTAATCCTGGCTAGCAGAATATATCTGAGGCAATATTCTGTGCTGATGGTCTGAGTCTACCTTTTGCGTGAATCCAACACTTCGACATCGGTCTCTGCCCATCGGGTCTACCTTTCCAGAGGATCCATTGGCAGACTTAAAGTGGTTGCAGGCTCTCTGGAGAGAGTGAAGGTCCGGTCTCAACGACACAAGACTTAGGAAGGTCCATTTGGCCGCCAAATTTGGCTCCGCGTCAGTGGGAAATTCTTGGAAGGGGACATCGGGGATGTTGCGGGGATGGCACAGGTAGACTGTAAAGCTATGAGACAACTAGGGGGCTACGCGGCCCAACCCCCTGAGGACGCTTCGCGCAATCAATGGGCCGCTTCGCGGCTCTTTTTTCACCCTCCTATCGATGTTGGTTTTATTTTTCCCCTAAAAAATTATGATATGAGCTATACTTTACTTTAAGAATAAAATGATTTTTGTTTTTGATGAATAAAGAAAAAAAAAATTATTGAAGTCAAAAGAACGCGTTTTGCAATGACTGATTAAGGAAACATTGCAGTAAAACAACAAATAATGCTAATCAGGTCATAATTATTGAGTAGCTGAGGAGACAGGAATCGAACCCACGTTTTAAAACATGTGGGCGCTTCCGACGTCTTAGACGACTACCAACCTACCTAACCTTCTGCGCATAGCGGCAGCAGGTTGCGGAGCATTCTGTAAATTCGCTCACTTTTATTACTTGATTGTAAAAAAACCTGGGTCCTATTTCTAAAATCTGATTACAGGTCATCTAGGGCCTATCACCTGTCAATAACCGCAAAAATCATGGAAATCGGCCCGGTAGAACGCTCAAACAAACTATGACAAAAAACACAAATTTACATTGTTTAAATGGGAAAATTCGCAACTTTACATTGAGAAATCGCTTTTAATTTGACCAGAGGGCGGTCGGTTAAGATGGTCAAACATTGGTTTCAATGATTCATTGGCTCAAACAAACTATGACAAAAAACACAAATTTACATTGTTTGAATGGGAAAATTCGCAACTTCACATTGAGAAATCGCTTTTAATTTGACCAGAGGGCGGTCGGTTAAGGTGGTCAAACATTGGTTTCTGCCGCCATTTTACCCTTGAAAATAGAAAAAGTCAAATATAAAAAAAAACAGTCCCACTTACGATTGCGCGGTTTTCAAGTTTTCAATCTAGAGACCTATCTAGAATCTTTCATCAAAAAAAAATCATGGGTGATCCTCAGAAAAATAAAAAAAATTTAAAACAAACCGTGCTGAAGAATTTCATTAGTGTTTCTCCCACTTGAAGAAAAGGTGGCAAAAATGCATCGACAAAGCAGGGGAGGACTTTGAAGAGGATAGGTGATAACGGGGTAAGCTTCTTGAAATGTTAATTTCTTTATTTTAAAGCCTTTTCATAAGACAGCAACCAAGTTTTTTCTCAAAATCTGCGTATTTTCTTAGTATTATCTAAAATTTCCTTGAAATAAAGCCAAATATCGCAACTTGTGTTTGAATTTCCTTTATTCTGAGGCATGTACTGTCAAAACCAAGATGAATTTTTACATCCTGTAAAAAAAATGATTTTTATCGGTCTGTCACCTTTCAGATACTTAAGCCCACGAAGACCTCATAATGATGCTCAGTTTGCCTGCTATGACAAAAGTTGCACTCCTCACACTTTCCTTTTGAAGTTCCCTGAGAGAAGAAAGCATAATTTTAACTCTACATGACAAAGGAGATACTTGATGAACGTCATAATTTTACATGAGAACGAATTAAGACTTAATGGTTCCTACATTTAAACTGAAAATTAGGAGTGCTTACCTGAACGGCCTCACAATCAAAACGTGTGAGTCAGCAAACCTTGAGGATAGGTGAGCAGCCGTGTTATCTAAATTCCAGGAACTATACTTTTTGTGATCTTGATGCATTTCCATACTTTCAGGAAAGTCCTGAGAGGAGAAAAATTCATGAAGAAATTAGAAATAAAAAATATGTAAATGAAAAAAAGAACCTTTAAAGTAGGCTTGAATTACTTAGGATAACTTTGTAATACACATAATTTATAGCCAGCTAGAGTTTTTTCAAGGTCTAGTGGTCACAAACACAATTCAAGACTCTGCGAAACCTTAATTTACAGATAGTGCACAAGTACAAGCACCAGGGCTGAAGAATGCGAAATACTTTGAGTCGTGAAAACTCGACATTTTCAGGCAAAAAATTTCTAACCCAATAAGTATGAGACATGAGCGCAGTTTATCAATGCAGAAAAATGAACAAGAGCTTGTTTGACAAATGAGCACGTATCAAAAGTTCACCCGTAAACTAGAAAGTTTTCAGAAAACATAAAATCCATGAGAAAATGTTTACCTGAATATCTCCTCCGAAATAAACAACAGCTTTCAGTTCATTGCTTTTTACTCTGGGCTTACAGTAAATGACGTCATTTGTGCGACCTTCAAACCCAGGAACACCACAGAGTCGTAAGGTGCAACTGGATGTGAGCGGATCAAGCATCCTGCTCAGAAGAAAGGAAAATTATCATTGGAGTGTTAATATCATGACAACTGAAGATGTCCCAAAAAGAAATACTCTTGTCCCTGGGAACACTCAGTTTCATCGTTCAGATTTTCAAATTCTACAAAGGCTGTCCCAGAGAAACTAGTAGTTGGCCTACACTGGGCAAATATGCTGAGTTCATGAAAAACGCTTTTCACCACTATTTGACACCCCTCCCCCTAGGGTGGGACTTATTTTTTTAAATCGACAAAACCAAATGTTGCACGGTCTTAAATGGTTCTATGTGATAAAAAAACACGGTAGCCAAGAGGATTTTGAGAAAAAAATTTTTTAACCCGGCGCGCACAGAGCCTAAACATCGAGATTTTTCCGGTTTTTTTGGCATTTTCGCCGTATATTTTTGATATTTTTGCCAGCAACACGGATTTGACGCTAGATGTCCAAAAATTGGTACAAACCTAGCACATACCTTGTAGATTAAGGGAAAATTTTTGTTTTTCTCCTAGGTCACTAATAGTTCGCTTGGTAATGCCGAAACTCTCCGCTCGGCAGCTCTAAAAATCGAAATTTCGCCGTTTTTTAACGTATAATGAACTTTTTGAGCAACCTATAATGGTAGTAAAAATCCGAAAATTTGTGAAAAGCAAGTCCATACCATCAGTATGGAAGGGCAAATGTCAGAAAACTCCAACGTCTTTTATTTTCTGCCAAGCTATGCCCATAATGGTGGAAAACTTGTCAAAAATAGCTCAATTTTGACCGTTTTTTCGGGTTCGAAAATTTATTGGACACCCTGTAATGACAATGAAGGTCCGAAAATTTGTGGAAAGTAAGTTCATACCATCTGTATGAAATAAAAAATTTTACTTGGTTCATACGTCTTATATTCTTCGTCCTGCGATACCCGAAATGGCAGCGAAAACGTCAAAAATACCTCAAATTGGCCGTTTTTTGATAATTTTTTGGAACACCTTGTAGTGCCAGTGGAGGTCCGAGACTTTGTGCAAAGTAAGTTCATACCCTCCGCAAGGGATAGAAAAATCTACTTGGTTCCTATGTCTTACATTCCTCGTTGTGCGGTGCCCGCAATCACTTCGAAAACGTTAAAAATACCTCAATTCGGCCGTTTCTTCAATGGCAAAATTTATTAGACACCCTGTAATGACACTGGAAGTTCGAAAATTGGGGAAAAGCAAGTCCATACCACCAGTATAAAAGGGCAAATTTCAAAAGGTCCATAGATGTTTGATTCTTGGTCCCACGGTGTCTTCAGATACACAAAAATCGTGAAAAATACCTCCGTTTTGACCGGTCTTTCGCTATTAAAATTTAATAGACACCCTGTAACGGCAACAGAGGTCGAAAACTTTGCTGAAAGTAAGATCATTCCATCTTCATGCAATAAAAAATTCTACCTCGTTCCTATGTTATGCATTCCTCGTTGTGCGGTGCCCCCATAAATTGACAATGTAAGAGAACGTATTTTCATATTTTTTAAATCTTGAAAAAATTTGAAGATATGCAACACCAAAATTTCAAAATACATATATGATTTCCTCAAAGCTAAATTTTCAGCAATGCACCATCTGAATGAAAAATGCTTTCGTTGCTGCGTAAATAAGCTCAGAGAGTTAAAAAAAGGGTTTACAAACGATTCAGGGTAGACAACTAAACATACGTGTTAAAAGCCCCGAAAACGCTTCAAAGTAATAAGAAAAGTCCTGTTGGTAACCACCTACAAACGGTCCACTATGGTCCACAGACTGGATTTAACGGAACTTTATTTGAAAATGCACTGCACCGTTATAAAAGGTGTTGGATCTTATGTTTTTTGGGTCGCTGATTTCATTTGACATCTTAGTTTAACAAAATATTAACATCCTGACCGAGAAACTTAACCTCAAATGTGATTTCTGGCGCTTTTGAGACTGAAGATTTTTTCCACCTTATTTTGACATGTATAAAAATAATAACAAAAGTGTCTCTCTGTCGAGATCAGACTATAATCATTTATTTTTAGGCGGTAAATCCGAATATGACCTCCGTTTTGGTCCATCACCCTTAAATTTTCCGGAAAAGCCGATTTTGCCCGGAAAAATGGACATTTTTGGTGTTTTTGCGACTGTTCACCTCTGCAACATGTAGGTAAAATTTTTTCCAGGTACTAAATAGTACTAGTTCGATGTACTTTGATCTACTGAGTCCAAAAATGACCTTTGTTTTTTCTTATCACCTCTCTTTTTTCCGAAAAAGCGACTTTTTCCCGGGAAAATGAGCAATTTTGACGTATTTTTGTCATAATTGCAATTCATGTTGATAAATTATACTGGACCCGTGGTAAAGCGATTCTGTCATGTATATTAAGCTGCTAAATCCGAATATGACATAGGTTTTGGTTTATCACCCTCCAGTTCTCCGATAATGCCGATTTTTCCGCGCCTTTTTGGGTAAAACCTTTCCCGGACTCTAAGTGTGTTAAAAATACGGTTTAAAATTGATTTCCATGTTTGATATATCGATTCTTATGTATTTTGACTTGCGAAACCCGAATATGACCTTAGATTTTTCCTATCACCCCTCATTATACCGGAAAATTCAATTTTCCTCGGAGAACGAGCTTTTTCGGTATTTTTGCGCCAATTTTCCTATTCTATGGAGTTGTAGCGATTTTCCAAGTTCCTCTTTAGGTCTTCTCTGACGTCTTAAGAAACATTCAACCTGAGTTCGACCTCAAATTGCCTCTTACAACCCCCCGTTTTCCTCAGAATACGGAAAATCGTCGCAAAAATACCAAAAAAGCTCGTTCTCCGAGGAAAATTGAATTTTCCGGGATAANTAAATTGGGGGGAACAGGCACCCCTTTTTTCAAAAATGACATAATTCATTCATTTTTCAATAGAGCAGATAAACAGCTTCAAAACAAGCTCAAGCTGAGCCCTGTAGCTTAATTAGAACCCGAGTTATGATTTTTTGAAATTCAAGGGGTTCACAGCCCCGGGGGTTTTTTTGCCATCTTTGAGCCCCCGTAACTTCGGTTCTATTGGTCGTAGAGAGCTGAAATTTTGGGATTTTTATACCATCATACGGATCATTATGCTCACCAAGTTTCATCAAAATCGAAGATGGTCATGAAAATTCACTGGTTGAGTTGACATGGAATGACCCAAAAGTGAGAGGTGATAAGAAAAAACAAAGGTCATTTTCGGACTCAGTAGATCAAAATACATTGGAATACTTTTATTTTGTACCTAGAAAAAATTTAACAGTCGCAAAAACGCCAAAAATGCATGGAATATTCCACATTTTGATGTACGGAGGTGCACTCCGAAAAAATTTAATTTCGACCGTTAGGCGCAAAAAGGCGCAATTTAAATTGGCATCATTTTAAAGTCAAGGATATGTTGAACAAGATTTTTCAATCCGCAAAGCATTAACTAGAATTAAAAAAAAGTTAGAGCTTCCTAAAAATCACGAATTTCACTGATTTCTAGCATTTTTTGGCGTATGTTTGGAGCGTTCAAAAGCATACAAATTTCGGTTCAAAATTAATGAAACGGGGTGAAAAGGAAGTCACTTGCCATCAGGTGGATCCATGTTGCCCAAAAATGTACATAGATGAGGCGTAACTCGGTAAAATAAACACCCTGTAACGCACCACCGAATGCGGCTCACAATCAGCTAATGAAGACCTACCGCGCGCTCTGTTGTTAGGGTCCGTCACAATCTTATAAATCATTATTAGTCGATGAAAACTTAGGTGACGATCCATAAGAGCATGTATGATGAAACTGTAGTGCCAAACTTTAATTTTTTCCACTCTCAAAATTTGACTAAAGTTCCGTTAAATAGGGTCTGTGGACCATAGTGCGGTCTTTCCTGATAAAGTTCTCTGAGTCAATAAAGTCTTAACTTAGAAAAATGAACGGACTTCGTTTTTGCTTTAGCCCATTCATTAATTATTTTCCATGATTAAGAGGTGAAATGATACATGATTTTGCTGATTTTCCCCGCACATCTGAGACTCTGTTTAAATTTTGGTACAATTCTAGGTTCTATTCGAATGATTCAATACATTGAGAACTAGCAAGAAATCCGTACTACGCACAGGAAAACCCCCACCATCAGCAATCACTGTGATTGGTGATCAGTTACAAATTTTGTTTCTGAATATTTATTTACTATTTCCAAATTAGTGAGACGCGCTGGTTTGATAAAAAGGCAGAGATTAGTAGTATGCTGATTAAAGCTGCAATCTTAGTGTGTTCTGCAGTAAGCTCATATGATAATTATAATAATCAAAATTACCCGCACAAAAGTTGGTTATTTTCATAAAGATTTGTTATTTTTGTCAGTTCAATTTTTAATTGAAGTCGGCTGGTGAGTTTCAGCCGAGAAAATTACGAGATTTAATCAACGGTTTCGTTCAAGCCTCAGCAATGGCGGGTTTTTCGTCTACACCGCGGAAAAAGCAAGATTTTTCCACCTGTATGTTCGCGAAAAATGCGTGATTTTTCTAGGGATTTTGTAAAAAGAATTACGCGACAATCACCACGATATCACGGCAAATACTTCGTGTTCCTAGCGCATTTCTAAGATCATTATAATTGCGCGTTATTCACATCAGTATCGTGGCATACACGCGAATTTCCGACTCAATTAAGACTGCATAGATGCGCGCATACAACTCATAAACATCTGTTACTTGGGATGGGCGAAAACGTTTGATTTTCCTTCAATTTCGCGCGCGGTACCATATACGTACTCCGGAGTTCGAATAGTTGCTAGCTTCATTTCTGTTTGTTAAAAGTGACAAATTGCAAGAATTCAATCTCGACGTTGCGAAAACTACAGGATTTAACCGTCGGTTTCCTTGCAAGATTTAATTTTTTTTTAAAAAAAAAAAAAAAAAAAAGCATTAGCAGTGATCCGAAATTTTGCAAGTATGACTCATATGTTTCGTTAAACTATGATAGAAACAGAAAGCAGGTGCAGAATGTC